ACTAGATCTGCCGCTTCCTCTAGGAGAGTATTCAACATCGTCCCTTCAACATCTTTCCTCCGGAATTCATCCAGTATGCCAGTGAAGCTGCCTGTTTTCATCTAATTAATAAATCCTTCTTCTTGTCGCCGGCGTGGCGCAGTAGATAAAGTATCTGCTTTAGATTGGCAAAGTTAGGAGCCAATCCTAACGTCGCGGGTTCGAATCCTACTGTGGGACGTGGAGACCAGTCCTTCCATGAGACCGTATAAACCCACGTCCCGTGTCGCAATAGGTACTGGCACGAAAAAGATCCCTCACTGCTCAATAGCCCTGAGTGCCGAGCATAGGACAAAATCGCAGCTCTTCACCGGCAAGTGGTATGAGTGAAAACTTCTGGAGGGACGTTGAAAAAAAATTCAGACGGAAAGCTTACTAGCCATTACCACATCAACCGAAACGTCGATTCCCTTGTGCGGTCCATACCATTTTCCATGTGCCAACAGTTCTTTTTTGTTACAGACACACAATCACATTGCTAACATGCATATGGCACCTAATTCTTCACATGTGTCTTGAGAAAGTGTTTTATGGCGTATTTTTTATCTGCTTGAAATGCACAGAGTGCATTGAAAAACTTGTCCCTTTTTCTCGGCCTTGGTCACTTTCCTGATGAATCTGAAATTACATACGAGTAAGTTAAGTATGAATTTATTTTCTCATTCTAATAAAATAAATCCCTTAATAAAAATAAAAGATAAAGTAAAATTAAAAAAAAAGGAAAAGCAAAATCTTAAAAAATTAATAAATAAAGCAGAAGAGTGATTAAAGTAATAAATAAAGCAGAAGAGTGATTAAAGTATCTCAGCGTCTAAATTTTATACGACCCTATGCTGGAAAATGACGGAAAATGCTGGAAATAAACTAAATTATTAATTATGTTATTATACCTCTGCCTCAAAGGAGAGGGTGTATATAATAGTTAATACTTTGTATGGGACAGGACTGAAAGAACGAGAAATTTCTCGAAGATTGAAAATACCCCGTACAACAATTACTTCTGTGATTGATCGTTTGCATGTTACCTCGCTTCCGGGGGTCTGTTGAAATTGACATGGGAGGCCTTGTGAAATTGCAATTGGTCTACATTTTTAAAATCTAAATTACAATTTTATTTCACAATGAAATGGACATACAAGGAATCTCTGTCTAGTAAAAAGAGTATGCCATGGACTTGATAGTTGGAAACTATCGTTGATGCCCTGGCATACTCTACTAACTTGACAGTGATTCCTTAAATAAATGGTTAGACAACCTTAGTCCGAAATATCTGACGTTTTCCGGGCTTTTTTAACGATTTTGATATTTTCCGTGCCAGGAAAACGTCAGAACCGGCGCTATTACCAGTATCCGTTCTTGGCAGAAATTGAAATAATTCCAATCTTAATTTATTTATTGATTCCTTGTGTTTTGATTGAACGAGAACAAATTCAATAAAAAGTTTACACATCGATGAATTTTTCAACCAGAACTACTTTATTGACTCTTGTAAAAACAATGAAAACAGATACTTCTAGTCCGTTTTAGCTAAATTAAGATTACAAGAAACTTATAATAAAAAATGAATGAATGAATTAATGAATGAAAAGGAGATAAACAGGACTGACCGACGGGAATGTAATGTTTATGTCACTGTCGGATTACGAGTGTGAATTTTTGAAATCGCTGATCATGCTGTCATTTTCTCGACGTTCCATATCAGCTCAGTTGGTATCGTTGTGATAGGGAAAAGAAACGTACCTCAGACTCTTGCCTTTTCAGCATCAAATTCATATATTTACATCCTACAGATCCCATATTCTCCCTCTTTGAACGAACCAGAGCAGATCGAGGACGTCGTCGGTCTTCAACTTTCGTCATGACGTCAACATGGCCATGGTCAAGGACGAATGATTTTGGAGAATACGCGTATTTACGATATTTGTTGACTTAAACAACATTCAATGATTTTTCATAAGTTTAATTATTGATTGTTTTGACAAATAAAGTTGGATTTTATCTATATTCATCTTGTATACGTTTCTTTGCGGCATAATGTATTCCTACGCCGTACAAAAGAACGGATTGTATGGCGGCCTCAAAGAGAAATAATTTTAATAATTAAAAAAATTCGTAATTGGAATTATAAGAATTAAACGTTCTTTTTTCAGAATTTATCGATGTGTAAACTCTGCCTTTTTACTCACAAACTTTACATAAAAGTGCTTCGCACTTTTATTCAGTTTGTGGGTAAAAAGGCAGAGTTTACACATCGCGATAAATTCTGAAAAAAGAACGTTTAATCCTATAATGAAAATCGATATACAGATTTATCGTAAGAATATCCAGGTCAAGTTTTGCAATGGGTATGATCGGACCATTTTGCAAAGAGTTTTGCCCCTTAGACTCGGAAAAATTCCAATTATTTGGGGGAGGGGGACATAAGTGTTTTACAAACATCTCTTGTTCATAATAATGTCATTTTACTGTCACTCTGTCATGCAGACAGGGAGGAATCGAAGCTTTAGCAATCTTGAAGATGACCTTGTCCCACAGTTTGTCCTGTTGAGCACAGGCACTCTCAAGAAAGGAAATCATGGCCTCATCATGTTGGGTGTGACTCTTATCCATGATGAATCGCAATAGAACGCACAGTTTGATACAGGTAGAAACGGCTCTTTGAGGCAGGAATTGATTCTTCTTTTCAGAGAAAACTGCTGTTTCTGCCAGTGTTAGAAAGTTAAATTCATCGATGAGGGAACTCCTATCGACTACTCCATCAATCCCTGGAACTCTCCTCCTTAGGGACATGGCACAAGGAAAGAGCAGGTACCGGAAAAGCAGCACCAGACTCGTGAGGAATGGTGACTTAGGTCTCCATAGGAACAGAGGCGTACATCTCCAAAGAGGCAGAAACAAATAATGCAGGAGCAAGAGAGGGAATGGGAGAGAATACAATGTGGATTGTGACCTGGTAGTCTGGTACTCTTCTAATCAAATTCTGTTCTTCTCTGGTTCCTTGGCTTTGACCGTTCACGGTAGCTCAGTTGGTAGAGCACCTGCTTCGTGATCGGGAGGTTTTGAATTCGAATTTGGGTCTCAACTGACCATAGTCGATTAAAAAGAAAAGGTCAGCAACTGTTCCTTCGCCATGCGCTCGGTACTTGGAAGTTGCGGTTCCTTCGGATGAGACCTTAAGAGCAATTCTCTGTAATCACCAAAGTAATTCTGAAAGGGTCTGGCACACATAGTCTCAGATTTTCTTCAAACTTGGCATATAGTATCTTCCTAGGGTAAAACTTATATATATGGCATAATTTTTTTTCTGGACATCCTCCGTTACCATGGTAACAGGGATACAAAATTTCTGACATATAGGGCTAATTTGTGTATGGCAATTTTGCTAAAATCACACTTTTTACACCATCTGTGCTGAACCCATATTTAAGATTAGAACTATGTTGCTGATTTCTTATAAAACTACAACATCAACACTTTCAATGGATATCTTTAATATGTTTAATAATTATTTGAAAATTTTGTAATACTTTGTCAAACAATGGCAAAATATCAACTTTTCGAAATTTGGTCAAAACTGAAAAATTACAACATTTTGGGAAGAAAAATAAAAAATTAGCAGAACTTTCACAATGTATCACCTATTTCATCTGAAGGTACTTGTCACAAATAATGAAAATATTCAAAAACATTCATGGGCAAATAACAACAAATGTTGACTATAATAAAATGAAAAATCATAAAATTGGCATTTCGCCAAAAAACAGCTTTGATGAACAAATCATATAACAAGATATATTTTTCTTTTTAAAATAAAAATTAAAGGAATCTAAGCTTAAAATTTGTAAAATCAATGAGATATTGTCAACTGAACCATAAAAAAATTATTTATTCATATCTAAAGGCAAGAATATGATCATAAATATACCCCCCCCCCCAATTTCTAGCACAATACAAAAATAATAGTCCTCTATTACTGATTACTGCAGTTAATGAGGCTGCATCATAATTTCTAAATTATATGCTTTTATAATATATGAACATGAAACAAAATCCAAAACACAAAACAAGAGGCCCATGGGCCACAACGCTCACCTGACCACTGTGGCTAGGAAATAGTAAGAAATTGGTTTTATTATTGAAAAGTTTAAATCCAAAAGTAAACCTTTGACCAGTTATGGTTTTGCTATTCTTGAGAAGATGATTTTTAAAGAATTTTCCTATATATTTCTATTTAAAACTTTGGTCGGCCATTGTGGCCCCGCCCTATCCCCGGGATTATGATTTGAACAAACTTGAATCTACACTACCTGTGGATGCTTCCATATAAATATGATCAAATCATGGCTTTGTTATTCTTAAGAAGAAGATTTTTAAAGAATTTTCCTATATATTTCCATGTAAAACTTTGGTCGGCCATTGTGGCCCTGCCCTACCCCCAGGGATCATGACTTGAACAAACTTGAATCTACACTACCTGAGGATGTTTCCCCACAAGTTTCATTTTTCCTGGCACAGTGGTTCTTGAGAAGAAGATTTTTAAAACATACCACCAAATTTTCATTAATTCCCAATTATCTCCCCTTAAATAAGGGCATGGCCCTTCATTTAAACAATTTTGAATCCCCTTCACCCAAGGATGCTTTTTGACAAATTTGGTTGAAACTGGCCCATCGGTTCTTGAGAAGAAGTCGAAAATGTGAAAAGTTTAAAGACGGACAGACAGACGCCAGACAAAATGTGATCAGAAAAGCTCACTTGAGCCTTCGACTCAGGTGAGCTAAAATTACATAGTTAGCTGCTACGTATGATAGAACAAAAGGCTACAAAGTATTACAATTAAGACAAGTACTGTTAGCTTGTGAAAATTTTTCTTCAACCTTTGTCAAAATTATCAACTACAAGAATTTTCCTATATGTATTTTAATTAGCAAACCATATCAAATGCAATTTAAAGAAGCTCTAAACAATACATGTGTATCAAGAAGTGATCTGCAGACTTTCAATTAAGGAAAAAAAATCATATAAAGGCATGCGCATTGAGACAATTAGTTCATTTTCAACAAGTACATGTACCTGCATTATTTCTACAAGAAAAATTTTATGAATAATTCATGAACAGAAAACCCTGTTGTTGACTATTGGGAAAATTAATGTAAATATTAATCAATTACTTATTCTTTGTCTAAGATAATGCTAGTAAAAATATTTTAATCTATTACAAATTGTGAAATAAATGGTAAGCAACCATTTTTTTTTTCTATCTGACTTCTAAGGGGAGATCACTCTTACTGTATTAAACTACTCCTTCAAGTAGAGCTCATTAGTGTGCTGTTAAGAGCTTCCTTAATTAAGGGACCTCACTGAGTCACTTAGAAATATGGTTGAATCTTGAGGATTTCCAGTATGGAGACACACATGAATATTCTCATTTCCAATTTCATCTTCAGGAAAATCACTCTGACAAGCCAGCTACATTGCTCCTCATTTGGGAAACTAAATTATTAGTAACAGACATCATGGTACTTTCTAAGGAAAAAATTTAATGCCATATCTCCAACTTTTAAGGCTTCATCGTTGTTTGGAGATTTTATGATATTCAGCTTTGCACTTTACTTTGAACTTCATGATGTTGCATCTCCACTCATATATTTTAGATGACTTTTTTCTACCTGCAGAAGTAAATACAATTTTCAATATCTTCAAATGAAGACAAATATCAAACTGAATTAAATACATAATTAAATCAAATACATTAATGTAAAAGCAAACCCTAAATCAAGAGATGTTTTTCTAATGATCATTATGACAGTTGTTCAAGTTAAACATGTTTTCTTTGATACATGCATATATTATTATGATTTTAAATCATTTTGATCAATGAAAGAGAAATAAGCAGACCATATACTACATGTAGCAATGTGTTTTTCTAACAATTTAGATTTGATTTTTGAAACTGGTTACCTTGAAGAGAAATGCATCTATAAGCTGTCCCAATTCCTGAAATTGTCTTTTCCAGAATCAATTTCTGTTATAGCCATGATTTATATGTGTATATGTTCTTGTTCCTTTTCCTTTTCATCCTCTTTGGTGAATCCTTTTAAAACAAAAAAATGAATATAATTTAATTTTTGTTAAAAATCACTAAATTCAAGATAAAAATTAATTAATTTTATAATAAAAATCAATCTATATATTAATTATTTTTCTGTCAACATGATCAAAAGGAAAGTCATATTATCCTTACAAAAATATGTACAGGTCAAGCACTATATAAATAAGAGATGTTTGTAAAACACTTATGCCCCCCTCCCCCCAAACTGGAATTTTTTTAAGTCCAAAAGGGCATAACTCTGTCTAAAATGGTGCGATCCTACCCAAAACATTTCTTGACCTAGATATTCAGCTGAAAAATCTGTATACTAAATTTCATTTCAATATGTGCAACCTCTGCAAAGAAAATGAATAGAAACTGCAAATAAGTGGAATTTTCTAAGTCCAAGGGGCATAACTCTAACAAAAAGGAAGCGATCGTACTTAAAATAAAACTTGACCTAGATATTTATCTGAAATACCTGTATACTAAATTTCATTTCAATATGTGCAACCTCTGCAAAGAAAATGAACAGAAACTGCAAATAAATGGAATTTTTCTAAGTCCAAGGGGCATAACTCTAACAAAAAGGAAGCGATTGTACTCAAAACAGAACTTGACCTAGATATTTATCTGAAATACCTGTATACTAAATTTCATTTCAATATGTGCAACCTCTGCAAAGAAAATGAACAGAAACTGCAAATAAGTGGAAAATCCAAGGGGCATAACTCTAACAAAAAGGAAGCGATTGTACTTAAAATAAAACTTGACCTAGATATTTATCTGAAATACCTGTATACTAAATTTCATTTCAATATGTGCAACCTCTGCAAAGAAAATGAACAGAAATGCAAATAAGTGGAATTTTTATAAGTCCAAGGGGCATTACTCCAACAAAAATGGTGCAATCATATCCAAAACATAATTTGACCTAGATATTTAGCTCATAAATCTGTATACCAAATTTCATTTCAATGTGTGCAACCCCTGCGAAGAAAATGAACGGAAACTGCAAATAAATGGAATTTTTCTAAGTCCAAGGGGCATAACTCTAACAAAAAGGAAGCGATTGTACTCAAAACAGAACTTGATCTAGATATTTATCTGAAATACCTGTATACTAAATTTCATTTCAATATGTGCAACCCCTGCGAAGAAAATGAACGGAAACTGCAAATAAATGGAATTTTTCTAAGTCCAAGGGGCATAACTCTGTCAAAAATGGAGCGATCGTACCCAAAACAGAACTTGATCTAGATATTTACCTGATAAACCTGTATACCAAATTTCATTTCAGTATGTGCAACGGTTGTGAAGAAAATGAACGGAAACTAAATGGACCGACAGACCGACGGACAGCAGCAAAGCAATATGCCCTCCCTTCTTCGAAGGGGGGCATAAAAAGAGGTTAAGCAGATGACCGTGTACATGTCCCTAGGGAAATCCCATATTTTAATGCGATTTAAGTCATCAAAACGTTTTGCATACAGCGTAATTCTACAAGTTGTACATAATGTATAGACTCCCAAGTACACGTAGATGAGAACTTGTAGCTTCTTAAATTCAAACTACAGAATATTTATTTTTCAGCTGGTGTTTGGTATGAATTTGAATATTTATTACATACATCCAATGTATCTTTTTTTTATTTCAAGTCATAGATTTATTTGATACAAATGGTTTGAAAAGTGTCGTGCTGAAATGATGTTTTACACATACCGGTACACGTGTAGATTGCTAAACAGAACACGATGTAAAATCACGGCTTGGTTTACATGTAGAGGTAGACGTACACGGTAAAATGCTTAACCTCTCTATTGACAGAACTATTTACTTTTAGTTTTATATATATAGGAGTATGTGTATTATATAATATGGCTGTAATGTATAAGGATTTACTGTTATACAAAAAGATTTCATCATATTACCATGATTTTTCATCTTCAAATATTTTTATACACCTGGGTTTTTTTCTTTTCTGAAAAGGGAAACTTTCACTTAATGTTAAGAAGATTACATTGATTGTATAGTGTCTCTTAGTCTTCAGAATTTTTTAATACAAATATGGAAAGACCCACCACTTGCCGTTGGAGAGATACAAATTTTGTCCTATACTTGTCACTCATGACCATGTAGCAGTGAGGGATTTTTTTGTTCAAGTGCGTACTGGCTACTGCCACACGGGACCTCAGTTAGCATCCAAAGGGCTGGTCTCCATGTCCCACAGTGGGATATGAACCTGCAATATAAGCATAAACTCCTTACTTTGCAATTCTAGAGCAGACGCTCTAAACACTGCACTTCGCAAGCGACTTAGAAGTTGCTTTGAAATATAGGCCTACAGCTATCTACCTAGCCAAATCAATTGATTGCACTGGACCTGGTTATATAAAGAGATTGTGTCTGACCTGATTCATGTCTTCATGGTCTGCCATCAACATGTATTTTTAAGTAATTATGTATGTAAATGTACCGGGGAGAGTCAGGACAGAGGTCCCTTCAGGTGTCACAATTTTCATAGCAGAGGAATCTCGGGTTACATGCATGCAAGCCAATAAAATGGAGAAAAAAGTATAAATACTTAGCATTTGTAATATTTATAATTACTTCTTGTCTTCTTATGTATCATATCTTGGCATTTCTTCCTTCTTCCACACTGCCAATCCTTTCCCCGGACCCGCTTTGATAAGTTTTCTCACCAAACTATTTATTTACCACTACAAGTGCATACATATTGTACCTCCAAACGCTAGAGAGTAATCCAAGGGAAGTAATTTGGAAGCAAAAAATGCTTCAAAATGCAGAAAAAATGGATATTCACCTTTGAATTTCTTTTACACATCATTTGCCCACCAATTTTTTAATTGTTTAAATATAACCAAATATCAACCTTTCATGTTTTATTATTACTTAATTTGTAGATGGCTGCATTTTTTTGTTTTAAGTCTGTAAAAACTGATCAAAATTTACTATATTTTTGACATTTTGCAATGCATAACATGACCACTTACGGGTGTAAAATTAAAATTGAACTGTAAATATTGTTGTTTGAATCTCTAGTATTGGATAACAACAATAAACACAAATTTAGATATCTCTGTTCATTTCTAGACATGGTTTTTCATGAAAAGTACAGATTTTCATGATTTACAAAAATGAGAAAGTTTGCATCCCGTTTCTATGGCAACCAAGTTTACAATTCAAAAACTATTTTTAGATTTTATAATCACTCACACACCTGTATCAAATTATGATATAAAAATTTAAATCTGTAACTATGAGTGCCAAAATATTTTGGTGATTACAGAGAATTGCTCTTAATACCCGAGTTCCCGTGTCAGACGGTGTCACTGCAGGCGTTGGCAGGATAAAGATCCCTCACTGCTCAATGGCTCTGAGTGCCGAGTACGAGGGGTTATCAAAAAGTTCGTGGACTAAGTCCATAAAATTAAAACCGCTTTAGGTACATCAATGAATTTTTAAATATCTAGTAAGCATCATCTTTTTTATCGACAGAATAAACAATAAATTATAACATTTATTTTTTAACAAATTAGCAATGATTTTGTAAGCAATGGTATGTCAAGGCGGCGCAACCTCGAACACGACGTTTTTGCGACCTTAGCTTAACTGAGAAAAACTCTATTGATATGAACATGTGACATCCAAAAATCTCGTTTATTCAGGTATGTGTTTGGACACAATTGTTAAATAAACTATGAAATTTTTAATTCATTCTGGAAATTCTATGAAATTTTATCGTAAATTTTACACGGAGTGTTCAAACAAAGAAGGCCTTGAAAATGACGTCAAAAGGGGGGAGGGGTTTCCTTTAACAACATTCTATAAAGTTTTGTGTCTGAAAATACTGGTATAGACCTAATAAATGTTTAAACTGGCTACAGAGAAATAATATACATCCAAAGTACTTGTCTTTTAATGTTAAAATAGATTCAGGAAGAAAGGGGATTCACAGTTTATGTCGATTTGTAGTCAAGGTGTGAAAAATCAATCACGTCAAAAAGTGACGTTGATCATTGATATTGTAGATATTGAACTCCCAAAAGCAAAATATGCTGGCACAATCGAGTGAGGATCTCTCCCATTGTTTAAATCCATTTGTTATATCATATTCATTGAAAGTCGCTGTTCATTCATTGTAAAGTCATATAAACAAGGCGGGATTAAGTCCTTACTCAGCTCCAGAGAATATCATCAAAATAAGTGTATGAGGTAGAAGAAGCGGACATTAAAAACCAATGACGTTGTCGGACGTCATGAAACTAAACGGCGACAGCGCCGGGGGATCATATAATGTCGTTTTTATTTTATAATAATTTGGCAAATAATGAACGTATCAAGCTAAAATTTTCAGCTTTTCTTTATTTTTTGTTGTTTTATATCCCATATAAATTTTGAAAGCACAGACTGCATAGTACTAATTTTATAGCCTCAGTCCACGAACTTTTTGATAACCCCTCGTATAGTTCAAATTTGAAGCCCTTCATCGGTTTATGTGACGTCTCTAAATGAGTGAAAAATTCTCGAATGGGACGTAAAACAACATAGTCAATTGACAGAGCTGGGAGTCCTAGTTACTACCGAGGGGAATGGGGATAGCAGAGATGCGATAACATATTCGGCAAACAGCTCAAAGAGGATTTGCAAGGATTGGAGATTCTGTTAGTTTTCTTTGTTTGAAGTATTGATTCATCAGTCCAATTCAAAGGAACTAACTTATATAAAGTTAACGAAGTGGTCTGGCAATATGAGCCTATCCTGGTTAAGTCCGATTAAGCTTCTTGCTTGTCTCGCAGTGTTGTCGTTGTCGGCGTTGTCGTCGTCGTCGTCGTTGTCGGCGTTGTCGTTGTCGTAAACTTTTCACATTTTCATCTTCTTCTCAAGAACCACTGGGCCAATTTCAACCAAACTTGCCATAAAGTATCCTTATGTAAAGGGGATTCAGGTTTGTTCAAATGAAGGGCCATGTCCTCTTTCAAGGGGAGATAATTAGGAATTATTGAAAAAGTAATGGTGTATTTTAAAAATCTTCTTCTCAAAACCCACTTGGCCAATAAAGATGAAACTCATAGTGAAGTACCCTCAGGTGGTGTAGATTCAAGTTTGTTCAAATCAAGACCCCTGGGGCAAGGATGGGGCCGTAATGGATGAGTAAATTTTACATAAGAATACATCAGAAAACCTTTAAAATTTGAAAATCTTCTTCCCCAGATCCCATAGGCAACAGAGCTGTGAGTAATTACATTAATGTGCAAGTAACCTTATGTAGTGCACATTCAATTTTGTCTAGTTTGTGGCCGTACGATATAAAACATGTATCAACAGATTAGGTTTACCTTTATTTTTTTTTTCGATCGGGCGCGGTGTACCAAATAAATGAAAACGAGGCACGTCGGCCATTTTTGATGTGTGGACAGCGAAGAAGTGACTGAAGTAAAGTGAAATTTAGTGTTTACAGGGATCTGAAACAAAAGTATTCATTGCCGATTGTTGTTTTCATTCTGTAAGGTTTAAAGAGTAAAGGATTTAGTTGAATAATTACAACATTGCGTATATTTGTTCATGCAGCATTAATTTGTTATTATGCAGTGTTTAGGCACAGCGATCATACTGCGTAGTTGAAGTCTCACGGAGAAAAGTCAACAAGTCCATTTAGATACTGCTACAGTTTACTAGTGTTAAAGAAGATTGAGAAGATGATCTATTTTTAAAATTTACTTAGTAGAGCAAAGCGTAATAGTTTGTCAAATTGCATAACATAAATAGAATTTTACATTCCCTTTTTTTTTTTCATTTCTAAGAGTTTGTCGGCGTAACGCTCCTTCTCCCACTGTCTTTGTCCTTTGTAAGTTACTTTAATATTTTTAATCTTCAAACATTATCAGATAATTCTGATCTGAACCTGTATTGCCAGAATAGGGTAACATGTAAATTATGAACATATTCATACAGATTTTATTACTAAGATAATGACATATAAAGTTGGTAAGGTTATTGAGGGAAAAAGTGCCTTACGCCGGTTGACCCATGATAGTCCCCACAAAGGGGAATAACTTGTAAATGTGAAAGTTGTCTACAGGGACAACTCTTGCATATAGGTACACCTGTCATGACTCATCAGTACATGTTTATAAAGGATAACTTATTGTTACTAAAAGTATACAAGTGTTTATTTTGCAGAAAGGCCTTGATTGTGATTTTGTGTATGCGGAGACCATGGAGACAAGGAATATCCCTTTTGACAATTAAAATAAAGCTTATATAGTGTGTTTAAAAAAAAAAAGAAAAGACAACAGTATAATTTACAGATTCATGCAGTTCATTGTTGTTTTATGGCATTTTTTTTGAAAATTTGAAAGAAATTATTTTGTTAACTTTAAACAATATTTCATGATTATTGATATATTTGATATTTTTAAAAAATTGCATTCAATGGGTATATTAATATTAGCCCAATTAGAATGACAACATGATTTTTTGTGATTACAAGGTTTAAAAGTAGTTATCCAGAAATAAGACTTGTAATTAACGGTGTGACCGTTTGGGCGAGCACACTTGTAATTACAAAATCACCTGAAATGTTATCAAACGTCAAGCATAGACATCAAGTATCAGTACAAGTGTTTATTGAAATTTGCAGAAAAGAAACTCCTACATAAATCGTGATTTTGTGTCAATCGTGGAGACAAGGAATATCACCTGCACAGGTTCCTGACAGTTGGCTAAAATAAAGCTTGGTAAAGTGTGTAAAATGCTAAAAAAAAAAGACAACAGTAGAATAAAAGACTACAGATCTACATGCAGTTCATTATTATTTTATGAGCATTTTTCATTGAAATAACTGATACTTGGAAATAATGTTTTGTTAACTTTAAACTATATATGATGATTATTGATATATTGAAACAGAATGGGAATTAATATTTAAAAAAAAATTGCATTCAATGGGTATATTACTGATATTAGTCCCATCTTTCAATAGAATGACTACATGTATTTATTTCTTGGGATTACAAGATTTAAATGTAGTTATCCAGAAATAAGACTTGTATTTTTCATTAATATGTTTTACGTTGTGACCGTTTGGGCGAGAAATACACCTGAAATGTTGATCTGTCACTTCAAATGTC